GACCCCCATAATTATTCTGAAGACATTAAGGCAACATTGCCCGGGGAAGAGGCGGAAGTGAGAGAGGAACTGAAGAAGTAAAAGGGGTAAAGGAAACCTAATTCCTCCCTCTATTATGGCCTTGGTATAAAAGGGCATAGCATCCTCGGCCCCGAGGGTAGGAGAGTACACCACCGGGTCATAATCCTCTATATCTACGCACGGGGGAATGCCGTACTTGACCTTAAACCTATTGATCTGCTCACCACCCTTTACTTTATACTTCCCCAACCCCGAAGAACCAGCCTGAGGATTCTCGGGAGCAGGGCGACGATGAGGCATCTCTAATAGTGAGAAAGTAAAGGGTGTTTTTTCTTAAAAATCCCTGAGGAAGTTTCCCGAGGATTAGTCGCTATGTATCAACCGGAGACACCTCCAGTCATCGGAAAACAAAAAGGGATAGGAGGAAGAAAAGAAGGAAGATACTAGAACTCACCCGAATGTCAAACGGAGTTTTTCTGGAAAACCTTAAAGCGACTCCTTCCAGAAAGTTCAAAAGCAACGATGGGTCTGCTGGCCTTAAGACTTTAAGGAAGAATGGGCAGTCGATGATGGAAGATGAAAGAGATCTCCGGCGAAGAATCAGAAAAAGGCTCTGGTGAGGAAGTTCAGAATGGCGAAAACAAGGAGATGCAAGAGGAGCCCCATTTATATAGTAGCAGTTTCATCATTGGGCGCGAAAAACGAAACGGCGCATTTAACGCACACGACATCCCAAGTCGGGGAAAGCGGCTCGAGGCAATGATGAAGCAGTTGTGGTTGTTGGGAAATCCTTCGTCTCCTTATGACGCGTGCCCTCGGTGTCAGAAGATCGAAGGCTGGGGGCAGTTGATGGGACTTTTCTGAAATGATCCATGATGAAGACACGTGTCATCGGTATTACCAAAAAATACTATTGATAAAATCAAGCACCATCGGCGCATAAAGGTCCTCGCCCCCGAGGTACTCGTCATATAAGATCATGCATTCAGTATGTTCTACAACCGACACGTGGCCTCGGTCTGATATGGTACCTCGGTCGGTATCCCTCCCTCGGTTCCGAGATGAGCCTCTCCTCGGTGCCGAGGTATACCCATCCTAGACGCCTCCTCTACTCCAGGATAAGCTATTGACGTACAGGTCATTAGCCTAGGCTATTCATCATGACCTCGTCTTACACAATTAGTGTCAGAACGTACTGGAATGCAAGGGCCACAGCCAATGAGGGATGGACGCGTGGTATATGATATCACATCGAAGACAGAGAAACCGCATGCCGTTGCTGACACGCGACTTGGGAAAGCAAACTATTAATTACAGCATTCCCTTGATGAGACCGCATTCAATGCGGTAAGACTCGGAAATGAAAGTCAATAAATGCTCCTAATACGGAGCATTTATTGCATCCTCCCCGAGAGGAGTACATTGTACCGTCGGCATCCCGATGACCCAGCATTGATTGCTCGGGACCCTGAGCAGTTAAGAAGAGAAGACATTCCTCATCAGAATCAGTGCGCACACTGCCTGTACCTAATGATCACCTACTGACTACACTGACAGCAATCATGAGCTTTTGAGGTATAAATACTCCTTGCAAAAGGCAAGACGGGTATGCAACAAAAAATTCTTTACTACAATACACACTCAGTGTTTTCTCCTTCCTGCTCTTTCTCTCTCTCAAAGACTGACTAGATCGTCGGAGGGGATACGCCGGAAAACACTCCGGCGCCCTTCTAACTTGTTTTTCTTTGTTCCAGGAACTTCCTTCAGCCTTACTGGATCGTTCTTCCACTCCCCCAGGGTCTCCCGTTGCCGTTCCAGGTTACCACCGGACCTCGCAGGCTGTTCCAAGCAGCGTGGTTGGTCACTCAACTGACTCACTCGAAGTTCACTAAGGGAGAGATCTGTTCTCGTTTTTTATATTATGCAGGATCTTGCACGCACATGAACCACCAATTTCATTGAAGGACGATGTGATGGATTCCATTGAATACACCAGAGTCCAATAATAGTAAGCTTCCTTATTATCTTAGCATCTCCATCGTCCTCAACCCGAACTGGCAGATGTTCTTCTTCGTTTAGCCTATTATATAGGCCTTCCCAAATATTTGTTTTGGTGGTATTATTTGCTCTAATATCTATATTCTTCCTCTGATCTCCAACTATTTATAACAATAAAATTTCAAAACTATAAACATCATACTTACATTTCACTTTTCTAACATTACTAGATAATATTTCGGACGTTATATAGCCCATTGTTCCCCTAGCTGCAAATAGAGAGACAAAGTTGTGTTTGTTAATGATCTTCTTGTACTAAACACCATTCATGTATTGTTATGTAGCCTCTCAAACTATATATTTGTGAAAACATTGATGGCTTATAGGGTTTTTAAGATTGTCCTCCTATCATAACTATAATGAGTGCTCCAAAATAAATATCACACTATTACTACAGGTAAATTTTATATAGCCCCTTCCCTTAGGCCAAATGACACAATGACCCTTTAACATTCAAAAAATGCCATGAACTCCCCTTGTATTTGTAGCACGTTACATAGATGACCCTGTTGTCAAACTGCCATTATACACTAGACCTTGAAGCACTGGCATCTCAGGCTTAAAAAATCAAATATCACCAAAATTACCCTTTTTTGACCAAAACAACTTTTACAAGAAAATATTTTCGTCGCCATTTTTAAAACTCTACCTTTTTAGCATTGATGCCCTCAAAAACCATATTTTGCTCTCTCTACAAGATTCAATAGCAAAGTGTGCGAGGTACATTTTCTCTTTGTATATATATATATATTTAAGATAATCCGTGCCTTAAGGCATGGTACAATTAAAAAAACATCAAGCACTAAATTTGGGCACAAAATAATCAAGCACTAAATTCAGACGTGTACTAAACTAAAAGCCTAAACTGTACCCATAATTATGTAATTCCAAAAAAAAAAAAAAATCAAGTATTAATTGTGAACACTTAACATAGACAACCACTTAACATAGACGTTAGAACTTACTTTGGAGTAGGACCTAGAAAAAAACCAAAACAAATATGAAAATTTTGGATTACACAAATGCGTAATATCCCAAAAGTTCAAGACTAAAAATAGAAAATAGACTTGATATATAAAAAATTAAATTGAAAAATATGGACAGAAAAATAAAAATTAAAGAGTTGAGCAATTAGTAAAAAATCAAACAAATAGACAAATCCACCTCATTGAAACAATACTACAAACACCAGCAGTTTGAATCAACTCAAACTCGCAACAAATTGCGTCTCAAGCAACAATTTAAAATGTACATTTGCAAATGTTATACTCCGCAAACATAACACCTGGAAGTCTAGAACACTCTGATGACATTTGACATGCACATATCCCTCCCAACTTTTCTACTTAGTTGAAGGCGCCGTTTCCCGCTTCCTTGACGCTGGTTTAAGAAGTTCCTACATATACAACATATATACAAATGAAATATTAGATTCAGGGTCGTGCCCCCAAAACAACTCTAATAATGCCTGACTGTGCAATTCCACTCACAAACTATAAGTGATAAATATCATGCTTAAGTTTCAAACAATTGCTTTTCCCTAGTATGATTGCTTCGCAGAAACAAAGTGGTCAGACTGTAGAAACCAAAGGTTTAACAAATGAACTGAGTTGCTTAGAAGGAGAATTTGCGATTAGCCACTGATTGTTCACTAATGACAACACAACCTAACCTTATACAACAAACAATACAGATCCAAATTCCAATTTAGAGGGACTACAATCAAAACTCACATTAAACTAAAATTCATATTCAAAAACCAAAAACAAAGTTCATAAAAATCAAATTCAAGAAAATACAATGAACTCAAATAAAAATTGGCCTATAAATTACACATCATACGACCGTCTTCTTCAAAAAACAAATGAAACTTCCGGGCACATATTCACTTATGTCAACCAATTAAAAATAACAAATTCTCATAAGATAAGTGAAAAGTACAATATTATTAAGAGTGCATTTAAAACTGATAATTATAGCACTGTTCCAAATTTCATCGCAAGTGCCACAAACACAATAGATTCAACAAGCATGTTTCCTAGAATATGAGATGAAAAAGGTGAGTGATCTTGGTTAGTGGAAAACCATCTCACCTTAGCAAGAATTTGGAACCAAATATTAACCCAATAAAACCACAACCTCTTTCCCAACTGTCAAACAAAAACCAACTATTGTTTAGTGCATCACCAACAACCTTTGGTTTTTAAGGGAAAAGAAATCAAATAAGAGGGAAAATTTTCTTACTTGTGTAGTGGTGTCCTGTGAAATTATTAGTGACATCTTTGCTGGTAATGAGTTCTTCAACAACCATCGGTAATTTTCAATATGGAATCAATTATGGAATCAAAGATGTTCTTCTGATCTGTCTAGTCCTGGTTGTTTGCCTGCTGCAGTCAGCATGGTATTGATGCAGGACAGTAGGGGATTCCATGTGTTGCGTACTAAGAGAAAGTTGGTCTGTGAATATAAGGAAGATATTGGTATTGGATACAGCCGGTATACTTAGATGGTGTTGTTACAGCACTGCTGTGACTGCCTGCTGTGCTGCTCAGCTGTGCTGTTTCGCTATATTGCATTGTGTTGTTGAGATATGGTGCTGATGTGCTTATATGCTGCTGTGCTGGGAGATGATTGGAGCTCTGGATTGGAGTCTGTTTTTTGTTGTAGGCAGTTTCTGCTATGATGTACCTGTCTTGTTACAGGTTGCAGTATTGCTGTGCAGTTGTGTTCTGCTATGATGAGCAGTCTGATATGCTGATTTGCTGTGCTGAATGAAGCTGATGCCTGGATGCAATGAAGCTGGGTTGCTGTAGCTATGCTGGGATGGAGATGGTTGCTGCATGATTGCAAGAGTTAAAGCTGAAGTTGGAAGAATGCTTCTGATACCCATTGTTAGGCTGAAGTTCTGACTGGGAGTTTTTTCAGCTTCTGGTACCCTGACAAATGCTGATAACAGGGGTATTCTGCCCTGTTAAAACTGATATTTAGCAGATTGAAGGAGTGAAGTTGAAAGAGGCCTTAACAGCAGTTTTGTCTATTTTTTGTATCAGAATTGTTGGTTATAGGATAACAGAATTTCTGTTATGAAACAGAAAATCTGTTTCTAACAGTTTTCTGTTTTTTCTGTTAAAACAGATTTTTTTTGTTTTTTGATTCTTGTAATTTCTGAAATTCATTCAATAAAATTTCTCCTTTTCTTTAAAAAAAAAAACCATTGGTGATTTTCAATATGCAGTTCTGAGTTTTACTGAAAAACTATTATCAGTTTTAACATTCATCAGGAAAAAAACAAAACATAATTATTATTTCCAATCACTAATACTTTAGTTTTGATGAAATTTGTAAACCCTCCATTCAAAACCCCTCAAAAATTCACATTTGCACAAAATTTAAACATGGAAACTAACTCAACAGTCAAACCATAGTTAACAATTAAAAGAATTAAAAATTAATTACTGAGCAAACATAATTATTATTTCCAATCACTCATTATGTTCTGTAAGATCGATGAACTGAGCAAACGTAGCATAGCACCATCACAACAAAATTTTGCTTTCCGTCGAGTCAATTCTATTGACCAAGAATATTACAGAACCTATGGATATATAAAAGAGTTAAAGAAAACCCAATTCTATTGACTCTGGAAATAAGCAGAACTTCCAAAAAATTTAGCCTCTATCTGTAATATAACTTGTACCTGAAGGCACAGTACAACTAAAAAAAATCTAACACGCCTTATATACGGTAGTTGAGACCTGTGCAATTCATAGGAAAGTGTGAACAATGTTAACTACTTAACACGCATCCTCAAGTTAAAAATTTTCCACACTCTAAATCATATTGTAGTAAAAGGTAATAATTTATTACATCACCACATTATTGTGATTACCCTGATACTATGTTGAGAGGAGTAAAATGAAGCTCAAAATTGGGTGTGTATTCAAATCAAACTTCACAGAAATGCAATACTGTGAATCTGTGATATAGCCATATGTAAAAATTGGTATTATATAATTTGAAAAGAAACCGACCAATTTAACCAAAACCTCTCAGTCGATACTCACAAAAAATGAAGACAACTCAATGAACAATTCACGTCAAATTTATACTATCGAAAAGTCTCGGCATTTATATTATCGAAAAGTCTCAAATTTCATGTCAAATATAATATTTATCATTTCACAAATTTTACAAATACAATGTGGGATAGTCTTGGTTCAAGGTTTTACTCACTATTAAGGTGCTTGCTAAAGAACATAAGAATTCAACCAAATTGGGCATTTATTTGAACACTTAAAAGGAAATATTATATCTTGTCAGAATATAAGCAATAAATTTCATGAGAAAGAAATCTAGTTTAAAAACATACATAAAAAACAGAGAATTATTTGAATATCACTGCCAACCTCAAACTACAATACGTAAAGTACCCAATAACTCCAAAGGTGAAAAGTGAAGTTCTCTGATGAAGTCCTCTCCTTCCACAATGTTATTCCCACACCCAAACGTCCCAGTTCCAATAATGTTTGAAGCCTGAAACACCACAAAACCCTCAATTGATAAGGAACCAAATAGCATTAGAACTACAATTCACAATTCACAGAGTGCTGCTCAATAGCTTGTGAAGTTTCGTGTGTAAGTGACATAGACTAAGAGTTTCGTGAGAAAATATAATACAATAAGTAGAATCGCAAGCAATCCTAAGATTCCAACAAATGAACCTCCAGTCCACTCAATAATAAGACTGCTTATTCCAAAGCTATAAAATCGAAGCTGCTAATCATTGAGAAATTGCTTATAGGTATTTTCTTTGAAGCAAAACATCAAACTTGGGCATAATATATTGAAATGCAGTATAAGTCTAATTGAAGCAGCTACAATACTATCTCACACAACCCCATACTAAAGTTCAACTAAACACTTGAAAAAAACCACGACCCACCGCCCTTGCCCCTCACTTCCCCCACTCAACGCAACCCTACACAACCTCCTTACCCCATCTCTACTCCCCAAGTCTAAATCATCTATAATCCTCCACATAAAAGGGGTTTTGCTCATTTTACAGTATTTCCCTTCCTGGGTTTAATCTGTTTCCACACAATATCGCACAAACCAACCAAAATCCCCATCTGGGTTTTGGTCATATACCAGCATATGAATTGGGTCTTTCTTCTTTTACAGTTTGCTCTCCAAAAATCACAGATTTTTCCATCTAGGGTTTCCTCATTATAGCATTTGGGTTTCCCCCTTTTCACACAATTTTCAAAATGTACCAAAGATCTCACGTGTGTGCTTGTTGGGAGGAAGGGTGGCAGGTCGGAGATGGACAAATGAGGAAAGCAGAACCACAACATGCAAAAGGGTATCAACTTCTACATAAAGACAATAAAACCACAACATAAATGAGAAAAGATCCCTACTTCTTTGTGTGCAATTGTTCATTGAGAATAGGGTTTCTCACAAACACAATAGAGTTTCAAAAGTTCATAGTCAAAGTTCATTGACAATCTAGTTAGTCTAGATCTTTTATACTAAAAAGCTAATGGGTGCTCAATAATTAAGAGTTCACCCCTCAATATTTGGTTACATCTTTAATCATGTATCAACATCCCTGAAACATAACAATCACAAATCAGAGTAAGCTCGACAAATCCCAAAAAAATATAAAGTCAAAGTCCCCATAAACAGAAAATTCACAATTTTAAAAGATAAAAAAAAACCATAAACATTGATTTGAAAATCGCTAAACTTCACTGGAGAAGTTTTCCAATGGGCAAAAATTTATTAACTTTTTTTTTAACTACAAGATCAAGGGTGGCTAGTCCTTAGGGGGTGTGGAAAATATCAAACCTGATCTAAATCCACACAAAAAAAAAAAAAAAACAAAAAACCACTGCAAAAAAGAAAACCAAAAAAAAATTCAACTTTAAATACAAACACCCTAATCCACAGCAAAAACCAAAAAACAAAGCAATTCAACATTAAATACAAATCCAAACATAGAATTTCAAATCAAAAAAGAAAATTGTTACCCATAACAAAACCTTAAACCTAGATCTCAATAAATGAATTTAAACACATCCATTCAAATTCAAATTTCATTTCAAAACCACATATCGTTTAAACACAATCACATACATTCATAAACACCTACATAGAGACACAAACATGGAGAGAGAAAATAAAGGGAAATGGTGTAGAGAGTGAGCACTTCTGGGAGGAACGACATAGTCTAAAGACGCCACAACACAGGCTGGTAAGGGCCAAGACTCTAGGGCTACCCCTTTCTTTTATACCCCAAGTTCTACCGCCTTTTCTATATCTGTATTCATTTTTCCAATCGATTAATTTAGTCCAATTAAGCCAAAGGTATTGGTCCATTTTTTAAATTCAATAATTATCGACAACCGAAGTCTTGTGCGACCAGACTGTAAAAGTAAGTGAGTGTGTGTGTGAAATTAGTTGGGTGGATGGGAGCAATAAAATTGCATGTGTGTGTGTGTGTGTGTGTGTGTGCAGGGGTGTGAGTGTGAAGTTAAGTGGTGGGTCTTTGAGAAAATAGATGGATGTGTGGGGCTGTGTGCGTCGGTATGTGTATGTGCGCAAGGATGTGTGGGTGCTTGTGCTCAGGGTGTGATGTGTGTGTGGGTCTGATTTTGAAAATACCTGGGAGGGGTTAGCAATGGCGGCGGCGATGGTGGTGGTGTTGCTAATGAAGTGGCGCTAGGGCGTAACAGAGAGAGAGAGAGAGGACCGATGGAGAAAAAAAAAAGAAGAAGAAACAGCAATGAAGGAAACAAAAAGAGAGAGGTCTGATTTAGAGGAAAAAAAAAGAGATGTAGGGGAGGCGGCATCTGATGAAGTGACTGAGGTTGGTTTGATTTTGAAAATAACATAAGTGGAAAGAGATGGATTTTGGGGGAAATGAAAGAAGTATTAGTGACCATTGGATAAATGAATTTTAAGCCGTTGATGACAAAAACAAAGGATACCCACATCACATAAAACACAAATTATATAAAAAACAAACAACGGCTTGGACAAAAATAATTGATAATGAAAAACAATTAAAGTCACATACAAAAACAATTGATAATGAAAAACAATTAAAGTCACGTAATTATGATAGTTTGTTCATTGGACTTCTTATTGACTCAGATTGGGCAATCAATAATGGGAATTGGATGTGGCTCGCAGGTGTGAGTAACTCTCATTCCATCAATTAAATATACGCTCATGGTGGTGTTGGCAATTATCTTGCATATGAGCCTCCATAATAATGCACTAAAAACTTTTGACTGGAGAAATGCTGGCAAATGAAATCCATGCCAGTTGCAAATCCCAACACCTACACGTGCTACAGAATCAATTGAAATCAAACTTGAAGTTGTTCTTATGGCAAATAGTTCTTTACCACACATTTAAAGGGACATATAACAAAAGAAAGATGCTGGGTAAAATATGACTAAGATATTTCCCACAGGCATTTCAACAAACACTTCATATGCATGATGAAAACCTAGCTCAGTAAACATTTCAACAAATCCCTACTACTCTAAACCCACCCCCAGTGCATTGCGCAGAGGGGGGTAGAGAGATAGAATAGACATACCTTAATGGTCGTTGGATGAATGAATTGATTTGAGATATGCCGAAAATCATCTCATCTCATCTCATTTTCCCAGAGAAAAATCAGAAAATCGGTGCAAGAAACACATACCAACCTCATCTCTTCTCATTCATTTCTGCTCACACTGCCAATATGTTCACAAACCTGCAACATTCACACACACCAATCAATCACTCAATTCAACCAAAAATAATAAAAGAAAAAAAATTAACATTGAACAAAAGACCAAAAAATGAAAAGAAAAAACGAACCAAATGAAACCAAAATTAAAGTTTTGGCCATTGAATTTCATCGTATTTCACTTTAATCTTTGATTCTTTTTCATGAAATTAACACCCAATTTCATTCCATTAAAAAAACCCTAACATTCAATTTCATAAAAATATGCAAATTTCATACATCAAACATTTCGAAATTTCACCAAAATTTCAAGCCTACGGTCTAGTACAATGTTTGTGAATGTGCACCCAATTTGAAAACCCTAACATGTTTTTTATGAACAGAAAAAACCCTAACATTCAAGAACCCAAATTAAACACCCAATTCGGTCGACTCTGTATGTGTGTGTTGCTGAAGGGTGGATGGTTGTGCATGTGTTGTGGGTTTTGTGAGTGGTGTGTGCGTGATGTGAGTGTGTGTGTGATATTTGTGTGTATGATCTATGTATGTGTGACGAAAGAGAGGTGCAACTGGAGAGAGAGAGAGAGAGAGAGCGGCTAACCTAGGGTGTTTTCGTTGCCTGTGGGTTTGTCAATGGTGGGCTGAGTCATGGCAGATTCGCAAAGTGTGGAGGGAGAGAAGCCGCAGGGACTATGGAGAGAAAGGGAGAAAGAGAGAAGGTGAGAGAAACCGACAGTGGAAAAAAAAAAAAGAAACAGCAATGAAGCAGAGGTCTGAAAAAAATAAATAAAAAAAAAAGAGAGAGATGTAGGGGGAGGCTGCATCTGACATATGAAGTGACTGAGTTTGTGTTTAATTTTGAAAAATAATGAGTAAAAAAGAGTTGAATTTGGGGGAAAATGAAAGATTATTAATAACCGTTGGATGCATGAATTGATTTAAGACCGTTGGATGTTGAAGTCGCCCTGTTTTATATATATATATATATATATATATAGACATCCATATGTAGATTTACGTTACTGTTAATAGAGAGAGAACATTAAGCAAAACAAAAGACATAATTTGAGTAGGCACGTATCCTAGGGGTCTGTGAAATCCAAGTTAATGAAGTTGATATAACTATCTATGCTTATGGTTTTGATATTGTGCTTCATATTGATGTTTCAAGAACAATAATGTATTCTTCAAGTAGAAGTTAAGTTGGAAGTGGGAACATGGGACATGAAAAGTTGGATTAGATATTTATTGAAAAACAATGATGCTATGAGAGGAAAATTGCTATAAGAATTGTAGAACAAAAAAGCAATCTAAAAAGGAGTTGTATTTCTTCTATGACAAAGGATCATGAAATTTCTTTGTTCGGTGCCACCCTTAGGGAATGCCATCAATCCAATTATGCAAGATGGAATCATGCCAATGAATCATACTTCACACGCAGAATACTTTGAATACTCTTCACCAATAGAAAGGGTTTGGATTATGGAGGGTAACCATAAACTTCTGAAGATTTTGATTGTTGTAATGTTGGTTTTGTTTGTGCTACAACTATTGATTAGGATTATGGTTATTTCAAGCACTTAAGGTTTATTTGAAATATGCAGCTAAGAGCCTAAGATGAAATGCAATTTCTTGTTTGTGGTACCATTATACATGAAAGTAACATCAAATCCGTAATACGTAGTCTCCATTGCCTACAACTTCATAGTAAGCATTACACAACACAACAAAAAGTAGAAATTTTGGCCCAAGGTTAACTATGACAAAATATAAACATAAGCTGAGTATAACAGATCCACAACACACTAAATGAACTTTTGTTGCCTTTCGGTTGTCTGTGATGAATTTTCCTTGCCTGGTGGCATCCAATAATTACATGTAGGTTTTGTAACAACTAACCCCAATGGTCTGATCTTTCACCTTCAATCGCCCCATCCACAAACTGAAGTAGCTCATTATGCCCCTCAAGGGCTATTGCTTCACAAACCCCCCCCCCCCCCCATATGATCTTTCAGAAGACATCCATCCAAACCCAGTGAAGATTCTACAACCTACTCTAGATCCATTAATCAGGGTAACAGATGACATTATGACATAAACCACCACTTCAAGATTGAATTGGAATTTATTGAAGGCTTGGAAAAATCAATATGAAATGTACTAAAAGGCATTCTCTTCCTCAATTCCCTAGCATATGCATGCAGTAACTTAAAAGACTTGCCATGACTCCCTTCAGTTGTTCCATTTCCCTTTTTGTCCGTTAGCCACAGACTTCTATTTATTTCAAACTTCCATTATCTTGGCGTTCAACTTGTACAGTCTGAGGGTGAAGTTTTTATTTTTTACTTGTTATCGGGGTTTTCATCTTTTGAGCAATCGAATGAGAGTTTGTCTCAACCAACTTTCTATATCTAATATAATTGTGTTCCTTCATATAGCTCTAGACTTTAAATGGATGTTGATCACCAAGAGGGGATGCATGGATCCTCCACTTCCATAGCAACACAATGGACTATTACCCCAGT